ATACCCATATTAGAAGGAGGTTACATGAGAAATGTGTACATGAGTGTCAAGGGCCTGAGTGTCTGAAAGAAAGCTAATTCCTTATTTCCATTGTGTTATCTGTAGATAACTGCTTAAGACTGAAAGCCTAGAAATACCAATACAAACATATTATTTAGACATATGAAAGTAAACAGCAAAAGACAGTAAACTGAGTTCAAAGTGATTACCTTTGAGAAGCTGAAATTTGAGGGTGAAGAGAGCAGATGACAACTGTTTTATTCTAAGAAACCACAAAGAACAATTTGACTAAATAACTATAGGTAAAATGTTCATGACATTGAAGATGAAATACTTATTTTTAAAAGTTCAAATGCAAAGGACAAAGAGGCAGTTATAATTGAACAAAACGTATAAGACTATGCTTAATATATGAAGTCCTCTGTTCAAAATCAATAAGCTGGATTCCACTCCTGGAAAGATACAGCAGATGCACTTGTCTTGACTCAGCCTGTTAAGCTCATCTGCAAACCATAGACATTATCCATCAAACTAACATACAGAGACTCTGAAAGGTAAAGAAAAATAGGCACCCTGGCTAAGGGCCTCAGGAACCAGGAAGCTAAATAGTAATGAGCTCTCTGTGTCTTTCGGCCTCATATAGATAGCCCTGACCAGGTGTTCGAAAAACCTACAATCCAGAAACACCAACAAGTGCATACAAAAAGGCCTGGAAAAAAGTACACTCTCTAGCTAAAAGACCAGGAAAGGGGCAACAGAGAAAAAAAAACTTTTAGACAAAACCTACTCCAAGCAAATACCACAGATAATAAAACAACAAAAAACTGTGGACTTGATTTATCTCTCATCAGCAAAGACTCAGTGGTTAGCCTAGGCTCCTGTATTTGCCTGGCTGTCTGGGGATGCCCCTCCACTACAATAGGGTAGTAGGAGAAAAAGCCAACTGGGGAGCTGGGACTTGCATCTCTGCACAGTGGTAATGGGTAGTTTTCCTGCCATGCCAGTGGGAGCCACATCAGGGCTGGACTTCCATTCCTACCTAGCAGTAATGCGACAGTCTTTCCATCACCACAGGTATGGTGTGAGAGGAGGCCAGATGAAAATCCAAGACCTCCATCCCTCTGAGAGGTAACGAGGCCCCATCCAACCTAACAATATCAGAGAAGACAGCATGAAGAGCAGAAACAAGGTACCTTCTCCTGTCAGACAAGGTGATGGCACCAGAGGTCTACTGGGGAGCCTGAACTGCCAACCCCAACTAGCAGTAATGAGGTGTCTCTCCCCACAGACTGTCAACAGAGTTCAAGTAGGGAACCTGCAAATTCACATCCACCTGGCGGTAGTACAGCAAGCCCTACCAATTCCCACACTGGCCCAGAGGACGCCTGCTAAAAAAGAGGACTCAAATAAGATCTAGAGTCTAAGGTTTCCACCATACATTACAAAATCATTTGAATAACCAAGAACCAGGAAACCGCAACTTGAATAAGGAAATGACCAATCAACAGATACTAAAACTGAAGTGATGCATGTATCAGAATTATTTCATAAGGATTTTAAAGCAGTCCTCATAAAAATGTTTTAATAAACATATGAACACACTTGAAACAATAAAAAAATTTCAACAAAGAAACAGAGAAGAGATGAAGAAATCAAATGAAAATTTTAGAACTAAAAAATAACCAATATTAAAAACTCAATAGATGGGCTCAAAAGAATGGAGACAACAGAAGAAATAATCTGAGTACCTGAAAATAAAATAGAAATGATCTAATCTAAAGAATGGAGAGAAAACAGACTGAGAAAAAAATGAACAGACCCTCAGAGACATGTGGGACAGTAATAAAAAATCTAACACTTGTGTCATTGGAGGTCCAGAAAAAGAAAAAGAAGGGAAAGGAATGGGGGCTGAATGGGGGCTAAACAAGTATTTGAAGAAATAATGAATGAAAATTTCTGAAACTTCCCAAAAGATATACACTTACAGATAGAAGCTGAGCAAATTCCAAAAAGAAAAAAAAAACAAAGAAATTCACACTAAGAAAGAATTCTAGTCAAACTTCTGAAAACTACAGACAAAGAAAGAATGCTGAAAGCATTCAGAGAGAAACTACACATTACCCACAGGAGAAAAACAATTGGAATGACAGTGTGTGATACTAAGAACGATGGCTCCCCAAGGATGTTCACATCCTAATTCCCAGAAATTGTGAATATGTGGGGTTACATGGCAAAAGGGAAGTCAGGTTTCAGATGAAATCTAGATGGCTAAATCGGCTGCCCTTAAAATCGGGAGATTAATTATTTTGGATTATCTAGGTGGGCTGAATATAATCACAAATTTGCTTAAAAGTTAAATCAGGAGGGCCAGGCAAGGTGGCTCATGCCTGTAATTCCAACACTGGGAGCCTGTAATTCCAACACTTTGGGAGGCCGAGGCGGGCGGATCACCTGAGGTCGGGAGTTTGAGACCAGCCTGACCAACATAGAGAAATTCCGTCTCTACTAAAACATACAAAATTAGCAGGGCGTGGTGGCATATGCCTGTAATCCCAGCTACTTGGAAGGCTGAGGCAGGAGACTCGCTCGAACCCAGAAGGCAGAGGTTGTGGTGAGCCAAGAGCGCACCACTGCACTCCAGCCTGGGCAACAAGAGCAAATCTCTGCCTTAAAAAAAAAAAAAAAAGTTAAAGCAGAGGCAATAAAAGAGAGTCAGAGAAAGATGTGACTACAAAAGAGTGGTCAGAGAGATACAATGTTGATGGCTTTGAAGTTGGAGGAAAGGGCCACAAACTGAAATGTGGGCACCCACTAGAAGTTAGAAAAGTCATGGAAAATAAAAACAGATTCTTTCTTACAGCCTGTAGAAAGGAATACTGCCCTTTTGACACCTTGATTTTAGTTCAGTAAGACCCATGTCAGCCTTCTAAAATATAGAACTGTATGTTAAAAAAAAAAAAAAAGTGTTATTTTAAGCAACTAAATTTTTGATAATTTATTTCAGCAGCAATAGAAAATGAACATGCAGTTTTAACTAATATCTCATCAGAAACTCTGGAGGTCAGAAGGAAGTAGCACATTTTTCAAGTGCTAAAAAAAACACAACTATCAACTTAGAATTTTGGATCAGGCAAAAATATCCTTCAGGAGAACGTGGAAATCAAGACATTCTCAGTCCTCCAAAAATTTATATGTTTAGGCTCTAACTCCTAATGGAACTGTATTTGGAGATAGGGCTTTTAAGAGGTAATGACGGTTAAACGAGGTAGGGGTCCTAATCTGATAAGACAGGTGGCCTTATAGAGAGAGATTCTCTCTCCATAGGCAGGCAGGCAGGCGGTCACTAGGGAATGGCCTGTGAGCACATAGTGAGAATCTGGTTTTCGTCTACAGGCCAGGAAAAGAGCCCTCAGCAGAACCTGACCATGCTCGCACCAAGATCTTTGAGTTCCAGCCTCCCTGTGAGAAAATAAATTTTTGTTGTTTAGTCCACCCAGTCTATGGTACTTTGTTATGGCAGCCTGAGCTGACTAAGACAACTACCAACAACTCTGCACACATAAATTTGACAACTTAGATGAAAGAGTACAGTTCCTAAAAACACACAAACTACCACAAGCCTCTCAATATTAAGTAGACAATATGAATAGCCCCGTAACTCTTAAAGAAACTGAGTTTGTAATCTTAAAACTTCCAAAAAAGAAATCTCTAGACCCAGACAGTTTCTCTGGAGAATTCTACCAAATATTTGAAGAATTAACATAATTAACATCAATTCTACACAATTTTTTCCAGAAAAAACTGAGAAGAGAAGGGAATCCTTCCCAGTTTATTGTGTGAGGCTATGACTTCCCTGACACAAAAACTGGACAAAGTATAGAAAAATAAAACACAAACTATACACCATCTCTGGCAGAATAATCAATATAAAGGAACACATTCCAACTGATTTTATGAGGCCAGGGTTATCCTGATACCGAAACCAGAAACAGTACCAAGAGAAAAAAAAGAAAGAGAGAGAGACAGAAAGAAAAAAAAGAGTGATACCCTTCATAAATATGATACAAAAACGCTTAACAAAATATTAGCAAATACAAATAATTTAAAAAGTATATACCACAACCAAGTGGAGTTTATTCCATGGATGCAAGGCAGGTTCAATATTAAAAAATCAATCAGTGTAATCTACCATACCAACAGATTCAACAAGTAAAATCACATTATCACGTCAATTGGTACAGAAACAGCATAAAACAAAATTCAACTTCCATTCATGATAAAACCTCAAGTTTGTTTCAGAAGATGGTCCTGGGACAAGGAGCATTGATGTTCTGTGGAAATTTGTGAGAAATAAAAATTCTCATCCCATAGCTACTAAATCAGAATCTGAATTCAAATGCAAATGCAAGTAAAGTGTCAGAAGCACTGTTCTATAAGACAGTAACAGAAAAACTGTGGCTACTTTTTGTATTTTTAGTGGAGACGGGGTTTCACCATGTTGGCCACGTTTGTCTGGAACTCCTGACCTCAGGTGATCCACCCACCTCGACCTCCCAAAGTGCTGAAATTACAGGTGTGAGCCACCACGCTTGGCCTGTTAGTGCACTTTCGGTAGGGTTGCTGTTGAAGACTATTCTGTCATTAACTATCTGAAGATCTATCAAAAAATTTCTCAAACACCAAGAACCATGAAATCTTTACCACAGATGAAATAAATTACTTGTTAATTTTATTAATATAAACCATGTATCCAATTTCCATTATTGCTATGTCTTTCAGGAAGATCAGAGACAATTTAACAGTTCAAAGTTCATAACTGTATAAGATCATATATTCTAAACTTGACTCGGGGTTGACAGTCTCATCTTCATTTTCTCTGATCTTAGTTTTTATTTATCTAGTCTTGTCATCTTACTATAGGAATTGTTAGATGTCTCCTAAAATCCACTCTAAAAGTAAAAGAAAGCAACAAATAAACAGATGAACAAAGAAGAACTCACCAGGGACTTGGTCATTTTTGGCTCTTCGGACAAAGGGGCAGAGATCTGAGAAAACAGATGGGTAGAGGTAGAGATGAGAGAAGGAAGTGTGCCAATGTCACACATGGACACATACATCATTTACTGCCCATGTGCCTTACTCAAAAATTTATTTCTGGAGCTACAACATTAAAATATCATCCCATCCCATATTGTACAAAGATTTAAGTGCAAAAGTTTTACTATAACATGGTTAATAAAAAAGAAAGATGAGAAACATTTAGATATCCAATAATTGTGGAGTGCTTAAATACTTTATAAAATATCCAAAGGACATACTGTTCTATTACATCATTATACTATCTGATTTCACAGGTCCTTCAAGTTATCATCAACCCTGGTACCTAACTCCTCACTACCACTCTTCAATCTGCTCTAAGTGCCAATTGGTGCCCAGAGACTACTCCCAGAAGCCATTACTGAAACCTCAGATTCACTGATTCCCATGCCTTGCTGCCCATGAGCCGTGCATCGCTCATCCTACAATTCCTGATCGCAGAGTCTTCAATTCCTCTGCCTTAATTGTTCTGGCTCTTTACCAGTCAATCCCACATCCCCATGACTGACCTCTATGCCTGTATGACTACCCACCGCACATCTCCATCAGCCATCCCAAGAGTGCCAATCCCAGACACACCTGTACCTGCACTGGGGCCTTAGCACACGAACACATCTCCCTCCGCTGACACAACTAGGCTATAAACTCCTCCACATCCACAAATAGGAACTCAATGTACAAATCTGGCGCAATTCTTGAATGTATAGAATAAATTTATAAATAGAAAACACTTCTAAATCTAATTGTGAAAAGATTATTTAGAGAAAGAATTAAGGAAATAAGAAAACTCTTTATCTGCAGTAGTGAAAGCTAAATGATGTCGGAAATAGCATCTAAAAGACCTCTCCTCTGTCAGGGCCAGAGAGACATTTTCAGAAATAAAAGCACTTGCAGAGTATCTCTATCTTTGAGAGAAATACTGAAAGAAGTAGTCCAAATAAATGTAAATTGAATCACACATCAAGAAATGTTGAATAGGAAATATTGTTCAGCAATAATTATTGCAAAAGATATATAATTATAAAAAAGGACAATGTGACAATGTGATAAAGAGGCCACTAAAGAGAAAATTAATAATACCCTACGATAAAACATTCCTAATAATCTCAGGAAAAAATGGAAAAAATGGGGTGCAGAATGGAAACAATGAGCAGAAATTCAATCAATCCAGTGAAAATATTATATAAAGAAAAGGCAGAAAATAAAAAGAGTTAAATAGTAAACATCAAATGGAAGGCATAAAATCAGATAAATCATTATTACACTAAACTGAGAAGTAAAATTCTATCAACAGAGACTACAAGTTGGATTTGAAAAAAACAAAAGATATCTATTGTAAACAAATAGGTAATCTGACACAGAGACAAATATGGATATAAAATAAAGCTCGGGGCAAAGACACATCATCCAAATGCAATAAAAGTAAAAACAGGTGTGGCAATGTAAGTATCAAAGTGGAATTCGATGTTAAAAAGTGTTTTTCTTTTTTCTTTTTGGTTGAAAAAGGGGATCCTATAATACCATTTAATACATGAAAAAGGATAAAAAATGCATTAACCATTAGGTGTACGTATGCCCATCCCTCAGACACACAAATAAAATTAGCAAAAAAGCACATACAACTGCAAAGTGAACTATTAAAGTAAGAGATTTTTATTGTATCTCTTCCAGAATATTAAACAAGTAGATCAAAATTAGGAAAGATAAAGATTTGAAAAATACCAACAGGCAAGACTTAATTAAAGAGAATTTTGGCCCATACAACAAAATATAATTTTTCTCTTATATCTGTTGAACAAAGTTCATTGAGTAACTTGGCTTCAAGGAAAATCTTGATAAACTGTTAAAAGTTGAGACTTGATACTCTGCATTTTCTGACAATAGAATAAAATAAAAAACAGCTAAAACATACTTTAATAATTTGGGAATGAAGAAACTCCCCTAAATAACTAAGGATCAAAGGGAAACATCAAGATGAATTTATACATTTCATAGATAAAGATGTAGTTAAAGAAACTTTACTACCCTAAATGTATCCAGCATAAAACTTAAGAAAATAAGGGAAAGAACAACAAATTACATCACAAAGTGGAAAAAAGAGAAAGTACGTAAAAAGAAAAAGAGAAAAAATTTAATATTAAAAGAGTAGGGAGTAGTTTATTGGACATTTCAAAATGTCCAGTAAAACAGATCGACCTTTCAGACACTTGATTCTTTTTAAAAAGGGAGAGAAAGAATGAATGATATATAAATACAATAACCGTAATGGTAAAGGAGCTACTAGTCTTGGATATGAAACAGAACAAAATGGAAATGGAAATATGCAATTCTATGTAACATATGCTTTAAATCTTTAGCAAAATACATCATGATAATGAAACAGAAACGAAAATGTAAACAGATCGGTACGTATAAAAGAGAGGAAACTAAGATGTGCATCATTCACTCCTCAGATCCCTCCTTAGTCCCCACAGTCATCCTCCCCCACAACCCCACAGTCCGCCCTCACTCCGCCCTCAGATCCACCACCAGAGACCCCCAGTCCGTCCTCACTCCGCCTGCAGATCCACCACCAGAGACCCCCCAGTGCCCTCTCACTCCTCCCTCAGATCCACCATCAGAGATCGCTCCGATTTCCACTATTCCATCCATTGACCGTCCGTCCCCATCACTGACCGGAGGGCTCACGACAGACATCAGAGATTCTTCTTGTTCAGTCCACAGATGCTGCCATCCCTCTATTCACCTGCCCCCTCGCCCACGTTCTCTCAGGACAGTGGTCATTTGCTTCGGGCGGTGACTATAGTCGCAAGAACCAGAACAGGACCCACTTCCTTTTCCTCAATGCCTCCCTACTTCTTACAGCGCTGCCTGGGTGTGCGCATGCTCAGCAGTCTTCGTGGCCGAAGGTTGCCAGTAGTCAACATGGCGCTTTGCCAAACACGCTCCCGTTTCAGTGGCTTCGGCGGGGCGCCAGTATGGCGGCGCCCATGTAGACACTCTGGCCTGTGTGCGGCCATGTTGAGGTGATGTAGCGATTGAGGGGCTGAGGGTTGTCCAGAGGGAAGGCAGCAAGCAGAGGTGTGTCCCATCATACTAAGCCAGGACACAATCAAAGCCTGTCACCTCAGGTTACAATCTTTCTCCAGTGCTTCTGTGGACACAACAACACTGTTAACCAACAGGAACTAATCAGCATTTACGTAATGCCGCAAACGCAGCTGAATACACATTTTTTTTTCATGTTCATGGGACACTTAGCAAGATATGAGGTAACCTGGGCCATAAAACAAATCTCAGCAAATTTAAAACAACTGAAATCATACAGAGTTTGTTCTCTGAACACAATAGAATTAAACTAGAAATCAGTAACACGAAGATAAAAGGAAAATCTCCAAACACGTGAAAACACATGCTAAATAATCCATTGTTCAAAGAGAAAGTCTCAGATTTTTAAAATACATTGAAATGAATGAAAGTGAAACACAACATATCAAAATTTGTGGAATGTGGCCAAATCAGTGGTGAGAGAGAAATTTATACCACTAAGGGCTTACATTAGAAAAGAAAAAAATTTTGAAGTAATAACCAAGTAATAACCAAGCTCCCCACTTCTAGAAAAAGAAGAGCAAACTAAACCAAAAGCAAGTGAAAAAAAGTAAATAATAAGAATAAGAAGATAACTCAATAAAATGTAAAAAGAAAAATAGAGAAAAACCAATTAAACAAAAGCTGGTTCTATAAATGTCAATAAAATTGACAAGCCTACAGAGGAGACACAAAACATCAATATCAAGAATGAAACAGGAGATACCACTGTAGACCATGACAAAAATCAAAAGAATAAAGAGAATACTACAAACAACTCTACAAATATAAATTTCACAATATAGATGAAATGCATTAATTCTTGAAAAAGCACAAATTCTCTCTTACAAAATGAAATAGTTATGTTGAATAGCCCTAGAATTGAAGTCATAATTTGAAACATCTGAAAAAGAAATCGTCAGGCCTGGATAGATAGATCAGAGAATTCTAACAAACATTTAAAGATTAACACGAATTATATCCAGTCTCTTCCAGAATAAAGGATAGAAAGAAGCCAATAGAAAGATATTCCAACTCATGAGGCCAGTGTTACTCTGGTATCAGAGCTAAAGACAGAAGAAGAATGGAAATCAGTATTCTTCATGAATCTAGATGGAAAAAATTCTCAACCAAATAATAGCAAAAATAATTCAACAATGTATAAAACTAATTACAAACCACGAACAAGTGATGTTTATTCCAGGAATAAAAAGCTGTCTTGGTATTCAAAAATCAATTCGTGTAACCCGCCACATTAGCAAGCTAAAGATAAGCATATTACGTGATTATATCAATGCAGGAAAAGCATTTGAAAAAAATTCAACACCCATTTATAACGGAAAAAAAAAAACTTTCAGGAATTAGGAACAGAGGTAAACTTTCTAACTTTTAAGTTAGAAAAAAATCTACAGCTAACATAAAACTAAAAGATGAAAGAGACTGAATGCTTTCCCATTCAGTTTGGGAAGAAGGAAAATAGGTCTGTGCTCATCATTTTCATTCTACGTAGCTCTGGAAGACCCAGCCAGCTCACAAAAATTCTCTCCATAACCAGACTCTAGCCAGGCTCCTTTGAACTCTCTTGTCCACTAAACCCTGGCTTTTGGGCTTTTGTGTTGTCTATGCATTGCAAAATATTAGTAAAAATCCTAGCAATTTAGTCAGAATCCTCCATCTTCATATCTAATAACAAATTAGATATCATCATCACCATTGATATCTAATTTATTTTCTTATTGTCTACCATCCCCAGGTGATATCTGATCACTCTGGCATGGTTTCAGCAAGAATCCTGTGAGGTCAGTTTAGCCAGATTCCCTCCTATTAGTAATTTTCCATACACTACCAACCCTCCACCCTA